ATAAGAATATGAAACTGAGAAGAATAAGACCAAAAAGGGCTTTAAAATCGGAATTTAAGACTGAAATGAATGTTTATATAATGCTTTAAGACAAAAAAGAATCAAAATTTAGGACTGAAAAATGTTTAGCGAGAAGAATTTAAAATTAAAAAAGATTACTCCGGGGAGAATTTAAGACTAAAATAAAAGTTGTGAGTAGAAATTAAAACTGCAAAGTGAGAAAAATTCTTTGCTTTTGTTAAAAAATAATAAAAATGATCGGGGAATATCGGTAAATAAAAAAGCTAATGCACATTATCGGCCTTAAACAGTTTTTCTCATGTGACTAGTCTAACTAAGTTTCAGGTGAAATGTTATCTTTTGTCCTCTTAATAATAGTAAAATATTTAAGTTTTAACCTGTTGAATAATGTGTTTGTAAAAAAAAAGTTGCAAACACAAATTTTTGAGAAGGTTTTTTGTCGATTTAAGAATTTAAAACAAGAGGTTTTTCTTTCTGGAAAAAAAAAAGAATTTGATATTTGAAGATCATATACAACTAGCTTCTTTAAAAACAGCGATACAAGAAATATTTACAAGTTTGCGAAAATATCATTTTAAAATGTTTATCTAGTACTTTTTTAGGGTACTTATAGATTATAATATTTAACATAATTTTTAACTCCTTAACGGATCGAGAGAAATCCTTTATGGCAAATTCTCTTCCAACTGCGTCAGCAATTCGAATTTTAAAACATAGAAACAGTGGTTCAGATTACCCAAAAGTAAACTATGAAGCTTCAAATATTGAAATATATCAGGTAATTAGATATATATATATCAGATAATACAAATCAGATAATGTTGCAAATATCAAATAATATTGCAAATCAGATATTGTTGCAAATATCAAATAATGTTGTAAATCAGATAATGTTGCAAATGTACCAGAGAATGTTGTAAATCAGATAATGTTGCAAATGTACCAGAGAATGTTGCAAATATATCAAATAATGTTGCAAATCAGATAATGTTGCAAATGTACCAGAGAATGTTGCAAATATATCAAATAATGTTGCAAATCAAATAATGTTGCAAATATATCAAATAATAGCTGGATAATTTCTCTTTACAACAGCGGCTAGACATAATTAGTTTGCAATTTTATGTTTTGAAAAAAGGAATTTCAGTACTTGATTTTCTAAACTATTTTTTTTTCTGTACTTTTAATTACTATTGTTGACAAAAGAAAATTTGCCATGAAGAGTTTCACATGCAGTATAGCGTTATCTTAAGCTCATTGTTATTCTTGTTCTTCAATTTATCAGATGAAAAAGCATTGTGGGAAACTGCCAAATGAAATTAAAACCCAGTTTTGAAAAAATAAATTCAGCTAAATATATGTTCCTAAAAAACCACAGATACACAAAAATATTTGCCACTTATATAATCTGAGGGAAAAAAAATTATTTACGGTTAAGGTGAAACTTACGGTAAAATGTGTGTTAAAATTTATGGCAATGTTTTAACGTTATCTTTCTTTTTAGTTGAGATAAAATAATTCACATTATCAAAACTCACGTTTTTATATCAGAAATGCCTTTATTACGCATTGTAAATCTAAAATGCGTATCGTAACATCGAGAAAAAAAGAAAGTAGCGAACGGTTTTAATTGTTTTCTTTAGAATTCGTCGAAATTTTTAATTTTATCATATTTAAATTATTCTTAAGAAAATTTACGCAATTCGGTAATTATAAATCATATAAAAATAAAGTATTCCTAGAGCAAGAAAATTGTAAGCCTTAGCAAACAGTCAAAAACACTTAAATATCTAATAATTCAATATGTTAACCCTAAACCTAGTCTATGATGAAGATTTTCAATGCTTCCTGTCACACAAACTTATTTCGAATTATAGAATTGTTGATTATGAACCATCTTTCCATCATATAAAAATGAAGCAGTCAAAAATTAAGAAAGTATCATAAGCACACATTAAACGTTAATGTTACATTACCACTACATTACTGTAACATTGTCACATTAAATATTTCAACGAAATCTTTAATATCTGATTATTCAATATCTTAACCCTGAAATACTTAGTCTAAGACAGTGTTTTCCAAAGTGTGGTACGCGTACCCCTAAGGAAACGGGAACAGTTTAGCGGAGGTACGCGTTCTTATGCGGAATATCTTGCAACAAACGAAAATTTCAAAAACTTTTATTTGAAAACAAAGCTAGCCATGAAAATTTACGATAGCGGATTTTTCTATTGGCTATTTTTTTGCAGAGTTAACAGTTATAATTAGTGGTGTCAACAGCCAGTTTTGATGTTTAACTTTTGTGCAATTTTTTTTTATAGTAAAGAATGCATTCATTCTTTTTATTAGTNTACGATTGCGTATTTTTCTATTGGCTATTTTTTGCAAAGTTAACAGTTAATAACAGTGGTGTCAATAGCCAGTTTTGATGTTTAACTTTTGTGCAATTTTTTTTTATAGTAAAGAATGCATTCATTCTTTTTATTAGTGGTACACAGCGTTACGACAAATTTGGAAAGGGTACACAAAAGTCATAAGTTTGAGTAACACTGGTCTAAGATGAGGATTTTTAGTTTTTTCTGCCGTTCTGGTTTCGACTTATTTGAAATAAGAAAATGGTCATAGCAGAAAAATAACTTTTTTTTTTGTCTGAATACAAGATCAATTTTAGAATAAAATGAAATGCTGTATAGAATTATCCAGTTAATAATTAATAATTTAGTTAATTATTTAGCTTATTAACCTTATAAAAAGACATTCAGTTTTTTCTTTGAATTACCAAATGAATTTACGTTTATAGTAACGTTTAGAGTTTAAATGTTTATTTTTTAATACAAACAATAAAATATTTTGCATCAAAATAATTCCGGCAATAACTAGTTTGCCTCTACGCCGTAACTATTAAGGGAATTTAAAAATTGAAAATAATTAATATAAAAATAAATTCTTAAAAAATACTCATTAGTGTGCTAAAAAGTAAAAAGCTTATTTTTATAGAAAAATCTAAAAGTAAGCTAAAAAATCGTAATGAAAATAAAATGATAAATAAAAGTACTCCATTAATAATACTATAGTATAACAAATTCTTTTTAGTATTAAAAATTTTTGTTTTAACTTCCAGATTTATGGACTTTTTTAATTTAAATTTTTTAATGTTAAATTTATATATTTTTATTTTAATTATTTTTTATTACTAATTAATTTTATTAATTATTGATATTATTTTAATTATTAATTTTATTTATTATTTTTTTATTTTATATATTTATTAATTGTTAAATTTATAATTTTTTTATAATTTATTAATGTCCATTAGTTCAAAGAATATTTCCAAATATTATTTCCAAAGAATATTTTAAAATATTGCATTGTTCTTTAAATACATAAATATAAATATGTTCTACACAAAGGTTTAAAATTTTCTAACTTTATCATTTTAATGAATGAAATAAAAATATGTCAAAGAATATCGCAGTTTTATTTAGAATAAGTAAATTTTAAAATTCCATTTTATTCAAAAATAAACTAGTTATCAAGTTAATAGCTACAGCTTACAATTTAAAAACAGTAAAGTACAATATCCTTAAGGAATTCTGTGTAAGATGTTTAATTATAGTGGCGTACATTTTTCGCACGGAATTCTTAAGAAGATGCAAAAAAACAGTGGTGTAGTTTTTTCTTAATGATTCTTGAATATGTAACTAACAGTAGCGTAAATATTTCTAAAGGAATTCTTAAGAAGATTTAATAAACAGTAGCGTACATTTGTCTTAATTCTGAACATGTTTAAAACCTGTAGCATGTATTTTTCTTGAATATCGACAACTAAAATTACTGCGAATTATTTTGTTTTTATCTTTGACATAAAGTAACTGCAATTTGTTTGTGCCCTAAATATAAATTTCCGCCAAAAACATTTTCTGTCCTCAGGGAGATGAGGAGAATTAGAACCCATCGGGCTAACAGCATTCCAACTAATAATGCACCCGTAACGATTGAAGTTAATCGTTCTTAAAAACTTATTCCACTCTCCGCAAATGACTTAAAAACATCCTTTTTGTGTATTTTGTTTAAATTTTGAAAACAAATGCACTCGATTCATTATTAGTTATTATTAAAAAATCTAATACATTTGGAACTATGGGTAAGTGTTAAATTTTTCAGATGTTGGAAAGGGTTTCAAATATTGGGATAATTAAATTAATTTATAATTTTCGTCAGATAATTCATTATAATTTAAAATNCGATATGAATGGAATGGATTTTTTATCATAATTTAAGTACGTGAAATGAAATGTGAGATTTGAAAACTTAGAAACAAAATATGAACACTGAAACATGTTTGATCAAAAATATTTTAGTCAAAATTATTATTAATTAAATCAATTTAAGTCATATTTTTTACAAACAAAAACTCCAATTTAGTAAAAACAGTTACTATTTAATTTATAACAATTTCCGCCGTTATTAATTAAATTGATTTTTCATCCCTTTCCAACTGCTAAAAAATCATTTAAACAGTTATTTATATTATAAGAGTTATTAGTATAAGAGTTGTTTTAATAGTTTCAGGTATTTAACTAAAATACTAGACAAAAAATTACAAATTACAGAACTGTAAATTAGAAGTATTTTTGGAATTTGAAAATTTTCGTTAAAAAGAATTAGAGTTTTATATCATTATATTATATTGAAATATTTTAAGGTCATTTTTTAGTAATCATGGTAATTTAAAAGAAAACATCCGAAATTTATTATACCTAAATTTATTGCTTATTAGGAAAATATTTCAATATATTACTTAATTTATCATGGTAAATTAAAAAAAAAAAGCAATTCCTTTAAATTTCTAAAATATTTCTTAGATTATTATTTGTGTGGCATACCCTATTATGTGTGATCGCGAAAAAATAGTTTTTCTTTATGAAATGTTAATGTTTTATATGTTTTTAAAGGAATTTTTTTTTTCTTTTTAGCTTCAGCAAAGAGCTTTTTTAGCATCAGCTGTTCAGCAAAATCTACAAATTCAACAGCATTTAATGCAACAGAATCAAGCCCTGCAGCATCTACTACAGAACAACTCTGTGAGTACTTCGTATAACTTGGTTCTTCGTATTTTAAAGACTATCATTATTCAACAAATGTCTCTAAAAAAAATTTTTAAAAAACTTATGTCGGTTAAAAAGATCTGCATTTTTTGAATAAAATTAAAGCAATCTACTTATCAAATACATAGAGTGAAAAATTTCCTTATGTATAAAAATCTTCTCTTCTTACATTGAATTTTATCAATGTATGAGACTTTAACAAGAGAAATATAAACTAAGTCTGTTGAATAGTATTGCATTTTTTTTAAATAAAATTAAAATAATCTGTTTTTCAAATGTGTAGTGAAACATTTTGAAATCTACAATAAAATTCAAAGAAAGAAATTACGGTAAATCAGAAACCTAATCTAAAACGTTTAGCATAATGTCTCATTTTTGGAAAACAATGCGATTTAGATTGACGAATACAAATTTCATTAATAAAACATTTGCGTAAGTAAATAAATTGCGCAACAGAAATAAGGATTCAATAATTTATTTATTCGTAAAAAAAACTTTATTTATACCCATTTAAGCAATACAATTTTTCAAATTAAATTAATGAAAACACTTTCTATTTCAGTAAGTCTTTTCATAAATTAAAGAAATTATGAATTTTATTTTTGTTGCAACATTTGTTTTCTTAATTATTAGGCCATGAAATGAATAAATTAAAAAAAAACTGCTCTTAGCTTTTGTTTTCGTCCGCACTGTAAAAAATTCCAGATCAAATTTCAATTAGAAGTTCCGGTCTTTTTACCGTAACATGTCTGGTAACACTGAATCCTTATTTTACCACTACATGCAGTGAATTTACTGTATTTATTACTGGAAAATTGATGGAACGAAAAATCTGATAAACCGTAATTTTTATAGTAACAATTGCAGTAAAATCACTAAGTGAATAAATATTTCTGTAAAAATTGCGGAATAATATTTTACAGTAATAATGGATTTTACTGATGATGAACCGAAAGTGTACTTTATATCATAATTTGATCCCGAATTTTCTTGCAGTGCGTAATCAGCTTCGAAATAACAATTTCTAAATAAAAAAAATAAAAGTATCTAGTAAAAATTAATTAAAGCAAATGACAAAAATTAAAAGAACCCTTTCCAGGTTACTTAAAAAAATTAAAATGTATCAAATCAATTGCGAGAGAAATTATTTTTTATTAATCCTCTTTATAATATGCCTTATAAAAAGAATATGCCTTATTAAAAAGAAAGCTTTTAATAATTATCTTTCTCATAATATTTATTAATCCTTTTTATATATTAATGATGTGTATTTTCATAGTTATATTTTTTAGATCATTATTTATATTATTATTGTTATTTATTGTTGGGCAATTCATAAAAAACTTTTAACTTTATACATTTTTTAATAAAATTGTGTCTGTTTGTTTGTTATTAGATGAGTCCGGCATCTCCTGCTCCAGGACCATCTCTGTTAGCTGAAGCGCCATCTCTTCAGTTCGGTGGGGCTATGTCGCCAACATTGGCTCCACTTCCACCAATAATAACTAATTCCAGCCTTACACCTTCCCTACTACAAACTGCAGAATTCCCTGGCCTTTCTTTTCAACAAGCATCTATATTTTCACCCCCAAAAGACGGAACAGACGGCTTTCAGTCTGTGCCTCTCAAGGCCTCCAATAGGCCATCCTCACCTGTGCAGAGAACGATTTTTCCAAAGCCCAACCTGCCCCACGAGGTAAGGGATCTGCTATTATTGTCTGGTTTCTTAATAATAGGGAAGAAGATTTTTTTTATATTTTGGTTTAGAATGGAATTTTTTAACCCGTGGTTTTAGTTGCTTTGTAGTATAATAGCTGCTGAAAAGGGATGAAACCTATTCTTCGAGAAATTTCTTTTAATGTGCGTTATTATGAACAAAGCAAATTTTCAAAAATTATGGAGCATCTAATGTCCATTTCGAATTAAATTCTTTGTTACATTCTAACATTATCAACAAATATCATAAATTTTAAATCAAATGTTTGCAAAAAAAAAAAAAAGGTGCGTGTTTTTTATTTTAACTAGTTTGAAAAGTCATGCTTAACTTTTACGATACAAATATTCACGAAAAGTTGATAACTAATACCAAATAATGATTAATAAATATTAATAATAATTATAAGTAATTAATAGGGGACTAAATCTTTCATATGTCCGATTCTTTAATTTCTATTTGAAGCATTTTCAAACATAATTTGTGGTTTAAATCCCTTTTACTTGCCATTTTTATTCTATTTATTTATTTCTTCTCCTTCATTATTAGTAGTATAATCCAACTCTTAACAAGAGACTTAATCTTTAAATACAACATAATTGCAGAGAAATGTCTGAACTTTAAGAAAGACACATAGCTAAAATGCCAAAGAAATTATAAAACTTTTTTTTTTTAATAAAGGTTTTGAAAGGTTTTTTGCCAAAAAATTAAAAGGTCCAGCTCAAGTATCTTTCCCCTGGGGCAAAGTCATGATTTTTCACAGTAGAATGAGCAACAAAATTAGCAGACTACCCTGAATAACCTTTGATCGAATGATTGGATCTTCACGTTCTAGGACTCAATGTCAATGGTTCGAAAAACTAACTTTAAATATGCTAATTAATTAGTTCGGACGATATTTTATGTTATGAAATACGAAGTCAAAATGTACTTTCTGTGAATAAACATACCATTTCTTCGACATTAGGATTTACCTCCTCCCTCCAAATATAGGGGTAGCCGCAATCTGGGAAATATGGTTCAATAATTAGGTCAGTTTGGACCCCTTAATATTAGAAATTATAAAATTCATTTATTCGAAGGTAAAATTCCATGCAAAATATAACTGTTTGTAAATATTTTGTTATTTTTTATTTCATAATAGTCGGAAAACTTTTGAATTGTAAGGTATGCAGTTTTTTATATCATTTTAAAGAAGGCAATTTTATAGGGCAAAATATAAAATTTGAACGAAATCGGTTGAATAGTTCCTGAGAAATCGAAGTTTGAAAAAGTCATGTTTTAAAATTCGATTTCTCAAGAAATATTTCGAACGATTTCGCACAAATTTTGAATTTCGCAATTTAAATTTCTTAAAGTTATGTAAAAATTGTATACCATGAGAGTCAAAAGTTTCTTGACTATTAAATAAAATAGTAAATTTATTAAAAGTTAGATTTCGCATGGAATTATCGTTAGGTAAATGAATTTTATAATTGTGTACAAAACATCCAACATTTTCCATTGCGCGTTCATGGTTTTTGGTATGTCAACAAACGCCCATCATTCCATGATGAAAAATGCTACGTTAATACTAGGATGGTTAACCATCAAGAGAAGCTTGACTCCCATGGACCAACAATCCATGATAATCCGTGATGGTTTATGATGGTTTCAACTATACATCTCCATGATGGTTTAATAGGAATTCTAGTTGGTGTTCAGGAATATACCATCAAAACAATTTGGCATTTTTTATGTTGAACCATTATAAACCAGTCCGAATTTGGGATGATGGTTGTTCATGATCGTTCCAGCATTTGATTTCTAAGATAATATGATGGAAATTCGTGATGGTTCTACACGAACAAACCAGCAAAACAAGTTGCTGTTCTTATGCTGGACCATTATAAGTCAATTAGTCCGAATTCCTACATTGAGGTGATGGTTACTTATGTTAGTTACCCTCAAAAAATATAATTGTTCATGATGAAATTATTGATGGTTACCATCAAGATTATGTTGGCCAATGGAAAACTATCGAAAATTCTGACTTGGGTAGTTTTTCAATACTTAAACAACGTAAAGCTTTAAACTTCTTCCACAGTTTAAAATACTTATAACCTTAACAGAGAAGCTCACGTGTTCTAGACGGTGGATAAATATTTTCAAGTAATAGTCTTTTTATGTATGATTCTTGGGTTAGTAAATTCGATTAATAGGATATTTATTCACCACTCCTACTACATAATTCAAAAGCTTATGTGATACACCTTTTTGTTACAGGTAAGTCGTGTTGAACCTTTCAAAAAGTTGGCAAAATTAACCGAAAATCTGCACATTTTAGTTTGTAGTTCTCTACCGTTTTTTAAAATATTTTGCCGAATTCGGAGCAGTTGGCATCTCTTCCTTAAAATTAGGTTACTAAGTCTAATGTAGCAGATTTTAAAATGTTACAAAAATATGTAAACGTACTATTTAATAGGAAATTATGGACAAATAATTTTTTCGGAAAACAGGGAGGAAGTAGAATAACTTTTTTTTTGTCTAACGAGGACATCAAAAAGCACACTTTATGGCAATGACTTAAAAATATTGATACGTGCATTGTAAAACTGATATTTTTTTTGGCGTTCGATTTAAGAAGTTGGAAACCTTGAATAATTTTTCCCCCTGGCATTTGAATTAAAAGTTTTCAAATGTTTGGAAAATTTATAATATGTATTATCTTCTTCCTACGAGGTGAACCGGATTCGAATCCCAGTCGATACGAATTCCGCATCCGGCTTGCACTGACCACAGTGCTGACTTGAAATATCTTCAATGGTAGACGGATCATGGGTTAGATTACCTTTGCCGTCAGGCTAACAGTGGGAGGTTACCGTGGTCCTCTCTGTGTAACGCCAATGTGGGTTAGTTCCATCAACAAGTCCACCACGAAGACAAATTTCTCCCAATACCTTATCCAGGAGTTTCCTTGTCTTCTGGATTCTGTTCAAAATTACAAGGCTACGGAGATGAACATTAGTAGTCGTAAACCCAAACATTGGGTTGACTGTTCAACGACGGTTATAATATGTATTGTCTTTTAGTCTTATTGACTCTTCGACTAGTAATGAAGTTTTCATAATAATAACTCCAAAGTTATATAATAGCTGCATTTGTCCGTCATAATAATTGTTTTTATGTATTAAACTAGCATTTAACCACATAAATGCCGTAACATCTGTTAATTCTTTACAGGTTTTCAGTGATGTGCTGAGCGAACTACGAAGTAAAGCAGGTGGAAGTGACAGCACACCTCAAACTGCACCACGATCACACAGAATGGTTGGTGCACCTCCTCCCCCGCCACCACCTCCTCCTCCACCCCCACCACCACCGCCACCCATGTCACCGGACAGTCAGGCGAAATACCAGGACATGTATGGACGGGCAAAAACAGTCCGGATAGGAAAATGGCGGTGGCCGCCACCACGTGACGACGGAGCACCCCCGGTTAGTTTTTTAGAATTTAAACAATCCAAACAGAAAAAAGACAAGTCCGGAGCTGATGTCACCGATGGGGGTGTGGATTTTCCGGAAATCTCGAACTTGGAATCTGTGATGTCATTCGGAGCAGGTGCAGAAACTTCCACGCCGCTGACACAGGTATACTTATGATTTTGAATTAATCATGCTTTGTTCAAATGGTTTTAATATTTAATAGCGGTCTTTACATTTAGATTTCTTAAACGCATGTAAATGTGACTGCTCATATGCAGTAATTAAATGAAGCCTTGCCGACCGGCCTGTGTAGGGGGCAGGGAACTGTCCTTGCATCAGAAAGGTCCTGGGTTCGAATCCCGGGCAAGGCATGGATGTTTCTTTCTCTCTGTGTGTTCTACGTTTTTTCTCCTTTGTATGAATGTGACCCGCCCTATAAACGAGTTGTGGTTGTGTGAAAGGCGTGGCAGAAGTCGAATTCCTGACCATAGATGGCGCCACGGAAAAACAGGAACAATCGCATCCCCACTGCCTAAACAGGCATGCGACAAAAAAAATGAAGCCTTTACATAACGTTCAAAGTTAAAAAATAAAAAGTAAATTGTGTTGAACTCTAGAAACTTAAAATGCATCGCGAGAAGCTTAAGTAAAAATGGTTATTTGCATACTACCAAGTATGCATTAGTACCAAGTATGTATTGTCACAGTCATTATCATGGCCATTACCTGTTGAATACCATTGCCTCTTTCTATCATTACATGTTTTTATTTTGGTTCTATTCTAGTATTAATTAGGATATTCTAGTTTTACTAAGAATTACTATTCTAGTTTTACTAAGGATTACTATTCTAGTTTTACTAAGGATTACTATTTTAGTTTTACTAAGGATTACTATTCTAGTTTCATTATGGATATTCCTGTTTTACTAAGAAATTGCGTTTTTCAGCATTTCTTAGCAATTGATAAGAAATACTTTTAAAAACGCAATAAAATTCCATATCTTTAAACTCTAAGCAAATTTATTGCTTTCCTTTCTAACTTTCAAATACTAATTCTGAATGTCACTGAGAGTCAAATATAAACGACAGTCTGATTTTAGCAACACATGAAAATAGTCATTTGTCAATGTTCTAATTGGCCAATCATGTGTATCAGTCCTCAGTGGCAACTTTTCTAGAACAAAAGATAATTTTTTTTAAATTCATTTTGTTTATGATATCAAAAATTTTTTGTTTTCAGGCAATACTAAATTAACAAAATACATTTTTTTTATCAAAGTTTTTTCTTTAACGTTATTATACAGTTGCATAATAGTTTGTTTGAGCATCAGAAACATTGGCGATTGACTAACAGATGAAATTAGTTAAACAGAAGAAAAAAAATTATTAAGAAAAAAGAGTCGTAGCGGAAGAATGATTAGCCACCAACCAGAATTCATTTTAAATTTATTTTGTTTATTTATTTTTCGAATATTTTTTTCTCTCCTTTTTCTAAATAGCTCGCTCAAGTTTATTGTCTTAACGACTATTTTAAACTTGGCAAATGTGCAAGATGTCTATAATTCAGCAATTATAGATTTTGGAATGAGAGCGACTATTTAAAATCGAGTTAAAATGTGACCATGTTTCGGGAATCACAATGGAATTTGTTTATATTTAGTGAATTATATTAAGAATTTGATTACATTTGGTGAATCGCGATGAGATTTATTTATACTTTGTGTATAGCAAATAAATTTTGTTCACCTTTATTGATTTGCAGTAGAGTTGTTTAAATTATAGAATTCAGATCAGATGGAATTTGTCCTCATTAAGTGAATTATTAAATTTCGCAACTTTTACATTTCAGTCACCACAGCATAATCAAGTATCCGTCCAAGATCGCAATAAGAAAAACCTAAACCTCGAAGAACTAAAAGAAGAGGACTCGGATATCACCAGAGCTTTTGAAGGAAACGACAAACCAATTCCAGGAAGCATTGGCAAAGTAAAAATCAGTTCCGAAATGAGAGCCAAATTAGAACAACTCACTATGGACCACAGTGTTCGATCAACGAATAAAAAAGAGACCAGGTAGGTCACTTCCTTTTCGTTAGTACACTATGCACTAAAAAATTACCACGACACCAATAACAGAAACTTCTCCCTTTCCGTCTAATTCCACAATTCATAAAAGGCATGTTAGAATAGAATTCGCGCATTCTTTTTACCAAAATGAATCAGTCTCTGGCCTAGGTATGAAAGATTCCTTCACTTTTGTGAACTAATTTTGAGATAAGTTTTAAGATGATAATAAAGAAGTTTGTTACAGCAAATTTGCATCGGGCACAATTTTTTCCCTTTTTGATAGTTGCATTCATCGTTAACTACTTCAGAACAAGATAAAGTTTGATTGAACATTGATTTTTTTAAACATACTGTACATTATATGCACTAAAACCCCGAACTTTTCTCCATTTTAACACGTCAGTGAAAGAAATTATCTTTTCTTTTTTTTTCAATAGTAAAATTGCATCGATTCTGCGTTTTGGCCAAAAATGCTAGAAGGATCAGTAATATTTTACAGAACAAATAGATTACATTTAAATTAATTTTCTTTACATTGAAAGGGATTTACTTGCTTAAAAAATTTACTTTACGAGCACCATAATTTAAATGTTTTCCTCAAAATAATTTTATTTTTTAAAAAAATTAAGTTAGATCATTTATTATTTTCCTTCAAAAATTCTTTTATAGATGTTAGATTAAATATTAATGAAAATACTTTATGGTTCTTATACAATAGTTTATTGAAACTTTTACTCTATATAGCACCCAATGTATTTCTTCATTATTCTTTTGCAGGGCAAAAGTTTACCCCGTTGATGATGATTCTCAGCAAGACCAACAAGAAGTCAAAAAATTATCTGAAAGCAGAAAGATGCTTTTGGAACAAAAACTGCGGGGCAGTGGTGACTACATGGACGGCGCTGCCACTCGATCCAGAGCTGATCGATACCCAGAATTGCCTTACGATCCAGATTTACCTCAAGATTTTCGATCTCGAGGAAGCAGCCGAGAAGATCGCCAGCAGTTTGTGGTCGAAAATCTTGTCAAGTCCCAAGTGCAAAGAATGGAAAGAGCTAGTCGCGAAATTAGAGATCTAAGAGAAGAGCTGGGTCATCCCATGAGTGCAGTTCTTCCATCAAGAACTAGCACTCAACAAGCTACAGACTATTTATCAGCCCAATCTTCGAAGTATTTCGGACCACATTCATCGTTAATGAATGACCACTCCAGTCAAAACTCTTCTAGAAGTCTTCTGTACGAAGAAAGTTTGGCTAGCTCATCAAGAAATGGCTACAGGGACGAAATGAGATTGTTTGGCAATTCCAGGGGTCATCCTCCACCCCCTGTTGGTCCTATTGGAAGCAGACTGCACCATCCACCGTCGGTGACTGCATCCTCTAGTTATTATGCGCCAAGCACAATTGTTGTACCTAAACACAGGGAACCGCCGGCTCCTATTTCACCGCCAAAATTGTCGCATGATAGATTATCTGCTGATAAAATTGAGTGTAAGTTCTAGAACTTTTTTTATGACACTTATATTTTTGTTTGTTTTGTGGCAGGTGTGTTATGAAATATTAACATCAAATTGATTTTGGTGTCTTTTATAGTTGAAGAAAGCTCGGAGTTCCTGAAACCAATTGATACTGCGCCGCCAACCGTGATGGATACTCCGGAGCAAAGAACATTGGAAAGCATTAAAACTAAACAGTTTCCGCCTAGTACAGCTGCTTCGTTTTGTTACAGCAAAGTTTCTTGGCAATTAAGAATCAGAAAAGAGGTAAATAAAGAAGATTTACATCTATGTAGTTAATTCTGTTTTTAGAGTTCGAAAACAATTTTGGGTTATGTACTTTTGAAAAACATTTTCAGCGTCTTTCTATTCTGGTTTCGTCTGTTTGCACCAAAATAAATTTTAAAACATTCTGAAGACAGACAAAAGTGCTGTATTAAATTATCTACGCAAAATTACTAACTGTATAGTTTTATTGATTTAAATTTTTGTGTAAAAATCCAAAGCTTTCTAGAATTTGTAATGCGCTAGTTTTTTTAAAAATCCAGTGACCTTTATATCGTGTGAGTGTGTGTTTTTCTTTAAAAAAAAAAGAAATTGGGATATCAAAGGGTTTTATCAGATGAAGATCAAATTGCTTGCCTTGTCAAAGTTTGGAAAAGAACTTGAATAGAAAAAAAATACTTATATACAAAAAGGCGAAAAAGAAAAGCTTTTAATACAATGTATTAGTAGTTGAAATAACTGCCCTCAGCTTCAAAATTATGAAGTTGTTACCTTTTAAGATTGAAAATAATGAAACTCAAAACTTAAAAAATATGCAAGAAATATAAAACATTAGATCACGTTACATAGACATTTTGTCTAATTTAAAACATAGATCTAGATATATCAACCACCAAAGGTAATGTAAAATGTTAATGCAAATTTAGAAAATCTATGTAACGCTTTTTAAAGGTACTTTCTAGTTAACATTTCTCGATTAAAAGAAAAAAGGTACTTTTCGTTTCGCCGGCTCAAATAAAATCAGCTATTTTATTTATCTGCTTATTTCTATTTCTTAAAAATATAATCGTGACGTAAAAAAATAATAAGTAATATTTAACAGTAGCAATTACTTGCACTCAGTGATGTTACATAGGCGACGTCGAAATGGAAAAAATATGGTACTAAACATATGGTAATGCAATTATAAACTTTATCTTGTGTGAATTTTTAATGAATATAATAGTTTTAAAACTAAATGATTTCTTCCAATGTATATTGGAAAATGTACTACATTATGTCGAAATATATTTTTATAGCAGCATTAGATGTATTTGCAGATGCTATCTACTTATTTTTCTTATTCATCTGTAGTTTCTTTAATGAACTGAGATGTTTTTGTTACATAATAAATATTTAATAGAAAAGCACGTATATTAGAGCTTCTAAATTATTTATTAACATGAAAGCCAACATCAAATATAATTAGCTGGTAACTCAATATCCAGAAATTTAAAAATAGAATTTTTAGTCCAAGTGCATTGTGTAAGTAAATAATAAATGCTAAAAATTAATTTTGGATTTGTTTTTTTAAGGTATTTTCTCCGCTTGAGAAATTAGACAATCCAATATCCCTGCACCTTGTTTTCTGCCAAATTGTGAAAGATGTGTCATCTCCTGCTTGCATTAGAATGAACCGAGAAGAAAAGAGGAAATTGCAGCAGCTTATTGGTNAGCTGATCGCTACCCAGAATTGCCTTACGATCCAGATTTACCTCAAGATTTTCGATCTCGAGGAAGCAGCCGAGAAGATCGCCAGCAGTTTGTGGTCGAAAATCTTGTCAAGTCCCAAGTGCAAAGAATGGAAAGAGCTAGTCGCGAAATTAGAGATCTAAGAGAAGAGCTGGGTCATCCCATGAGTGCAGTTCTTCCATCAAGAACTAGCACTCAACAAGCTGCAGACTATTTATCAGCCCAATCTTCGAAGTATTTCGGACCACATTCATCGTTAATGAATGATCACTCCAGCCAAAACTCTTCTAGAAGTCTTCTGTACGAAGAAAGTTTGGCTAGCTCATCAAGAAATGGCTACAGGGACGAAATGAGATTGTTTGGCAATTCCAGGGGTCATCCTCCACCCCCTGTTGGTCCTATTGGAAGCAGACTGCACCATCCACCGTCGGTGACTGCATCCTCTAGTTATTATGCGCCAAGCACAATTGTTGTACCTAAACACAGGGAACCGCCGGCTCCTATTTCACCGCCAAAATTGTCGCATGATAGATTATCTGCTGATAAAATTGAGTGTAAGTTCTAGAACTTTTTTTATGACACTTATATTTTTGTTTGTTTTGTGGCAGGTGTGTTATGAAATATTAACGTCAAATTGATTTTGGTGTCTTTTATAGTTGAAGAAAGCTCGGAGTTCCTGAAACCAATTGATACTGCGCCGCCAACCGTGATGGATACTCCGGAGCAAAGAACATTGGAAAGCATTAAAACTAAACAGTTTCCGCCTAGTACAGCTGCTTCGTTTTGTTACAGCAAAGTTTCTTGGCAATTAAGAATCAGAAAAGAGGTAAATAAAGAAGATTTACATCTATGTAGTTAATTCTGTTTTCAGAGTTCGAAAACAATTTCGGGTTATGTACTTTTGAAAAACATTTTCAGCGTCTTTCTATTCTGTTTTCGTCTGTTTGCAGCAAAATAAATTTTAAAACATTCTGAAGACAGAAAAAAGTACTGTATTAAATTATCTACGCAAAATTACTAACGGTATAGTTTTATTGATTTAAATTTTTGTGTAAAAATCCAAAGCTTTCTAGAATTTATAATGCGCTAGTTTTTTTTAAAATCCAGTGACCTTTATATCGTGTGTGTTTTTTTCTTAAAAAAAAAATTGGGATATCAAAGGATTTTATCAGATGAAGATCAAATTGCTTGCCCTGTCAAAGTTTAGAAAAGAACTTGAATATAAAAAAATACTTATATACAAAAAGGCGAAAAGGAAAAGCCTTTAATACAATGTATTAGTAGTTGAAATAACTACCCTCAGCTTCAAAATTATGAAGTTGTTACCTTTTAAGTTTGAAAATAATGAAACTCAAAACTTAAAAAACATACAAGAAATATCAAACATTAGATCACGTTACATAGACATTTTGTCTAATTTAAAACATAGATTTCTATCAACCACCTATTTTATTTATCTGCTTATTTTTATTTTTTAAAAATATAATCGTGACGTAAAAAAAAAGAAAATTATAATAATATTAAACAATTTCAATTACTTACACTCAGTGACTTTATATAGGTAACTTTTTATCATCTGTGACTTCGAAATAGAAAAAATATGGTACTAAAAATGTGGTGATGCAATTATAAAATTTATTTTGAATGATATGAATTTTTAATGAGTAGAATAGTTTTAAAACTCAATGAATGATTTTTTCCAATGTATATTGGAAAATGTATTACATTTTGCATTAGAAGACTTTTGCAGCATTAGAAGACTTATTTTTCTTATTCATCTGTAATTTTTTTAATGGGCTGAGATGTTTTTGTTACAAAATAAATATTCAATAGAAAAGCACGTATATTATAGCTTCTAAATTATTTATTAACATGAAAGCCTACAGCAATGTAATTAGCTGGTAACTCAATACCCAGAAATTTAAAATAATTGAATTTTTAGTCTAAAAGTGCATTGTGTAAGTAAATAATAACTGCTAAAAATTAATTTTGGATTTGTTTTTATAAGGTATTTTCTCCGCTTGAGAAATTAGACAATCCAATATCCCTGCACCTTGTTTTCTGCCAAATTGTGAAAGATGTGTCATCTCCTGCTTGCATTAGAATGAACCGAGAAGAAAAGAGAAAACTGCAGCAGCTTATTGGTATTGATACAGTTTATTTATTTTTTGAATAATAAACCACTTTTTTAAAAATTTTGTTGGGTAAAATCCTAAAATAGTCCACCCCTTGGCGACTTTTTGAAATCTCGCCAAGTTGGTGATTATAACTGGGATCAACGATGTTTTTCGATTAATAAGGAAATAAAAAAAAAAAACAATTTAAATTATTACAAATTAAAATTGTTTTACAAAAACACCGCACAGAGTCTCGGTGGGTCAGAGGATAGAGCCTTCGCCTTCTAATGAGGCGAACCGGGTTCGAATTCCGCATCCGGCTTGCACCGACCACAGTGCTGACGTGAAATATCCTCAGCGGTGGACAGATCATGGGCTAGAGTACCCTTGCAGTTAGGCAAACCATTGGAGGTTCTCGTGGTCTTCCTCTCCATGTAACGCAAAGGCGGGTCAACTCCATCAAAAAGTCCTCCATGAAGTCAAATTTCTCCCAATGCTCGATCCAGGATTTCCCTTGTCTTCTGTATTGGATTCAAAATTACGAGGCTACGGGGTTGAACATTAGTAGTCGTAAACCCATAAAATTGGGTAAGCTGTTCAACATTTTTTTTCGTACAATTTAAAAAAATTTTATCCAAAAATCCAAGCAAAAAGTAACTTTTAATAAATTTTTGTTATTTCATTAAATGATAGTCGAAGAAATTCTAATTTGTAAATTATAATTTTTTTTAAACATAATTTCAAAAAATTTAATTTTACATGGTGAAATCAGTCGAACTGTTTATTAAACCGAATTTTGAAAATACAACTTTTTACAAGTTATTAAGGGATTTGCGCATTGTATATCATTCATAGTTATTTTAGTTTATTTAATTAGTTAATTATTACCTTGATTTCCTTTCGCTTTAACTAGCCGTATATCCCGTAGTATAAGTTGACCCTTTATTTTTGCAAACTAAGGTAAACAACGTTAAAGAGCACAAAAAATTATTAAAAGCAGACAGCTGTTTCGGATGCTCAAAGGGCAACCTTCATCAGTGCAACAGAAAGAAATAAGACTTTATTTTTGATAACGAGAAATCAAATTTCTGCTCTTATTGGTGTATAACTCAACCGCTAAAAAAAAAAGAAAATTTGAAAATTTCTAAGATTAAAAAACATACAAAAATTACTAAGTCTACAAAATCTTCCATTCAATCCATTGCAGACACTCTGTATGATGACACTGCTAACGTTACTGATTTCGACAAACATGATGATCTGGAATTTTCTAATTTGTAGTTAAATGTTGTATTTTAAGTTTTCATCATGTTATATTTTTAGAAGTGCTCTTGAATAAGTTACCTTAACTTTTCTTATTCTCGATTTATTTTTTTGAGCGTAATTCAAAGTACTGTTTCTAAAAAGCCTCGATATGTAAAGAAAGTTTGATACGAGTAAATGAGAAATTAATTGTTAGTAAGTAGTTTTTTAAAGGGATAAATTGATGCAGAGTTATTCATATCTATCTCATTGTGTAGAATCCATCGATACTTCACGATCTACGAATGTCCAACTGCATTATCCGGTGTATAAGTTGACCCTCTGATTTTCTTTAAATTTTTAACGTTTGAAAAGTCGACTCATACACCGGGATATACGGATAGAACAGGGGTAGCTTTCTTTGAGAGATTGTGGAAGGCGATGGGAATTTTTGTAAATTGTTTATTTTGTTGTATAGTACGACGGTTATAATATAAAATGAAATCATTTCAAACAGTTTTTATAATTAAGTTATTCATGCGAGATTCGCCTAATCTGATTAATGATATATTATTTTTCAGATGGCTACGGTGTAACATCATCCACTCTTCATTCGAACAACATAAAGCTTACCATGAAGAGGAATGTGGTCGATGTCGCCAAAGACTACCCCAATTATTTTTCAAGACTTTTCCCAATATCAGTAAGTTCTTTAACCCCTTCCTTCTCGCTCCGGTAAAAATGACGGAGTGAGGTTTCACCCTCTATTTCTCGTTCCCGTGATATTTCCGGGATGGAGTGTTCAGTAGTAGTGCGCCAAAAAGAATAAAACTAAATCACTTCTTTTGCTCATTTTGCACATCAGATTGCAGTACTAAGATATTTTTAAGGTAATTGTAGATAGTTAGTTTATTTTAAACTAGATGTCAGCACTAGTCAAATATGCGTAATTGTGATATGTGATAAAAAAATAAGCACTTTTATGACCGCTTTCTTGAAAATTAACCGAAATTAGAAATTAACCGAAAAAAAATTAGCAAAAAGAAGAAAGATGCACGACATTAACACTAGAAAGACTGAAACGTCAAAATGACTGGATTGTGAATGAATAAATAAATTTGTTTAAAATTAATTTTTAATATTTTTTATATTATTTACAGTTATAAAGCAAGTTATTAGTAAATATAACAATAAAAAAATAATATGTTGTACAAAAAGTCACAAAATTCTAAGAAATTGCGTCATTACATACATCATTGTTTTTCTAATTGAAAATAAAGAGCAGTCAAAATGACTTCCTTGGGCAACTAGTGTTAAAAAAAAATTTGTTTTAAAGTTATACAAAGTTTTGTTGCAAGACTAACATCTAATCTATATTCAAGCTTTAACCTTATAGTTTGCGGTTTCACAGTGTCAACGGTTCCTAAATGCGTTTTCTTTCTGCGTTTTTGACATCGGTGGTTCATAACCAGTCTTTGGCATTACTCCATGAAACGAACTGACTTGGAGTAAGATCTGGGGATATTGGTGGCCATGCGATTTTGAGTAAACCACTTATTACCAGCACGCCCAAAACATTGTTTATGAAATACTGAGGCTGAAAACACAGAATGAACTTGAGTGCATTTGTGTAGCACATTGAACCCATTAACAGTGTGAAATTTCAAAATATGAGGAATGAGCTTTTATTACAAATTAGCTGTTTGTCATGCCCCAAACGGGTCGCAATGAACATTTGTGACTGAAAAAAGAAAACGAATTATTAGTAGTATATTTTTTAGAGTAATACTTATCTACTGACAAGTATTACACTGAAAAACTTCACTTGTTTCAAAAGCTAAAGTGGAAAAAGTCGATATGTTTCAAGCGTTTAAAAATGTTTAGATTTTTAACCTTAATTTTTAAAGAAAATGAAGTTTTTTTATTGACTAGTACATCATTCAGTATCAGTTTCTTTATATTATTCATTTTATTATACGTAATAGTGTCGAAAATATAAATTTTTAATCCCTGTATGTCAATACAATGGGATAGATCTTTCAGATTTTTTTTTGTTTGAAAACTAAATATCATTCAGTTTAGAATCTGATAGTGGTCTTTATATTACAATTTATAGACTATACTACTCAAAATCTTGCTAAACCTGAAAGGACCTTGGTGATTTCCAGGATTAACTGCTTATCAAATAAAACATAGAATTTTATACAATTAACGAACTTCTCCAATTTTTTTTAATTCTTTATGTTGTAAGAAAGGAATAGCTATATATTGTGTATTATAACAAAGTATACAACAAGAAGTAACAACGTAAAGTAACAAGCATTTATATTTCAGGGAGGTAGAAATCTACCAAACGTACAAATGTTGGGTGTGTCGCATTCTGGAATGCGATTGGTGCGAAGAGAACGTGACGCAATTTGTGATTACCTCAGAGTATTAGATACCATCAGGTGAGAAGACAAACAATCACTTATATGATTCAATTTATTTTGTCAATCATTTTTCTATTGCTTTTGTCGGTTTCTTTCAATCTTCTATAGACTATAAATCAGAATAGAATATTCTACTTAACTGCGTCTGAAATTTCTAAACACTTCCTTTGTTTCAAATTTTTACCAGTCTGATTTTGTTGAAAAGCACTACTTACGTTTCAATACTAATAAATCTCATCGGGAATTTTTTATTTTTATAAAACTTCTCCTTAGTTTATCACCTTGGATGATTCCTTTTTTATGTATGCATATTTGCCAATTTTCCCGGTCTTTAATTTTTGGCTAAATTTTTACGAAACACCAACATACAATCACAATTTCATTGGCTTTACCCCTATCACTAGGAAAATACCTCTTTGAAAAGTGTAAACGTTCGCAGGTGTGTATATGTAATAAATTTAACAAAGGTCTGTCCAGATATTTTGTAAAAGGTCCACGGTGAAGTTTGTAAATTGTGCAAAAATTATTCATAATTTGTGAATATAAAATAAACGTTAAGTCACATTCCTTCAACCAGGATCCTGCTTTTATGAATTTGTGCAAATAGGGTCCGGTTATTGCAAAAAAAAATTTAAGGAGTTTTTAAATTGTAAAGAAATACGAAATTATGCTCAGCACTGTAAAATCATAATAAAAAAACTAAATTTTCAAAAATAAACAGCAATTGCTGCTTCTAAATTAGAGATGCAACATGCAAATATTTGGTATTTAGCCTATACTGCTGAGCGCAGAATATTCATTTCGTACGAATAATGGAAAAGGCGTCTATCGAAGACAAAACTTAAGATCTTTTACATCCATCTTTCATGTTTTCCCCCCTGGGAAGGGTTTATTCGATTAGCAAAACAATAATGAAGATAAACAAATTTGTGAAGGGTCCGATTAAAAGAAAAATCATTTTGTGAAGGGTCCGTTTTTAAGTTAAAATATTTTGTAAAGGGTCCGCTTATATGAAAAGATATTTTGTGAAGGATCCGTTAACGGACCCAAATTTCTTCTAGACAGACCCCTGTTTAAGGCAACATGCATTTTCATATCATTGAGATAAACTCAAATGCGAGGATCTATGTAAAGCTAATCCACTACCTGCCCTGCAAAGAGGGAAAAATTACAAAAATTACTGTGGTTTGACTAATGATGACAATGATATTTTATTCGTCAATCACTAAATCTAACAGAGGTAATGAAAATTAAACAGTTTGAATTAACAAAACCGCACCAGAAATTAAAATTGAGTTCCTTGCATATGAAGTCTAAATTATATCACCAAGCAAGTAAATTGAACCTAATATTGTGTAAGAAAAACAAATCACTTTGTGTCAAGACAAAACTTATTTATCCAATTTGTTATCTTAGATATCTTAGCAATCTTATTTGCAATTAATTTGCTATTAAATACTATCACTGAAAGTTAATTGCACTATCACTGGCTGCCACATACTATCACTGGCTATGAAAATTAAACAATAGAAATTCACCAAAGAACACTGTAAATTTAGAATTGATTTCCTTGCAATTGAAATCTAGATTATCTCACTCGATCTAGTAAATTGAACTTAATACTGTGTGAGAAAAACAAATCACTTAAATGATAAAAGAGACCAATCTTAGTTTTCAATTTGTTATCTTAGCTATTTCGTCAATCAACTCTGTTATCTTAGATAACTCATAAATCTTATTTGCTAATTAATATTAAAACTAATTTTCTTTTTTTAAAACAATAGGGTTAGGTCTCTTTTACTTTTAAAGTAATAGAAATACATTCGTGTCCAAACAGAATTAGCAAATAAGACCTTATATGCAAGACGAATTTTAGATTTGGCACAAAATTAAAGTTGCGCCTTCTTTTTCTCCGAAAGTTCGGTAGATGAGTTTGTGCTTGCCGTAATCATGATACCTGAGGGTTTTTTTTTTATAACTTTATGCTAAATTGCATTAAAAAAAATTAATACGCATTTAAGATAATACAATTTCAATTCATAATAAGGGTGCGTAGCGTTTTTAAAAAGTGCTTAAAGGTGCTTATTTTCTATTTTTATTTTTTAAAAGCCCTTAAAGGCGCTTTTTTCATTGAGTGTTTTTAAAAAGTGCTTACATTTCCCTTTTTCAATATGAGATTTTTCTTTCCTTATGTTGATTTTCGCTTCGAATTATGCAAAAAGACGCAGTTCCCATTGTTCTATTCAACGTTTTCACAATTAATTCAACCCCAATATATTTCTTCGTATTGTCAGTCCGTAGCCTATGAAAACGCCATTCGTTTTACATGATTCAAAATGTAATGATTTTTGACAATTGTCGAAAACAATGTCAAAAGTTTTTTTCTTTTTTTTTGCATGATGGTTAAAACAAGATAAAACCGTCAATTGTCAAAAACTTTCCAACCCTATCTGATTATAAGTGCATAAAAATACTTTTTGAGTGCTTGAAAAGTACTTAAAAGGTGCTTATTTTCTGTTGAATAATTTGGCTACGCACCCTGATAATTATTAATTTAATATGCAGAATGGGAAATATTAAAATACATAGAACAGACAACGTTCGATCCGCTAGAGTAGGGTACACGATGTTATGTTTGGCGCACTATAGTCTACTTTTGCGCCATAGAAATATTTTACCCATTCAATTTCTCAATAGAATTTCCACCGAAGTATGCGGATCTTGCTTACTTTTTATTTTAATGTAAAGTTATCGAACTAATTTATCAACTGTTATCCATATCGAATAATATAGCAAACACTTTGAAATGTCAATCTACTTGTAGCAAAAACACTGACTCTTAGAAACTAAGGCATGTAAAAAATATAAATCTCTTATCAATATCTCAGTTTTTAAAAACAAGAACAAGATTGCCAACTGAACTTGTAACTCCTATTATTATGCTAAACTTCATTGATTGTCGTCCAATGAGTATTGGCATCACTGTAAAGTACGTGATATATCATTATTTTTAGAATTAATTTAATTTTAAACATTTGATAATTGTTTCATTATTTATGTCAAATAAAATCGATAGTTGATAATCATAGTTTTGTACTAAGGTGTTAAGTTTTGAGATGCGTTTTAAACAAAGCATTTTCTTTCATTTAAATATATGAATTATTTAACCAACAATTTAATTAATCAATATTTGTTAACAAAAATGAACAAATGATAGTTCTAATTAATTAAGTTTTTTTGCAACTTTTAATTACTTTCACTGTTTTATCATTTAAATGAATTGTATTTTTAGTGTTTTATAAACGTATTGTATTATTGTTGAAATGTGTTGGAAAAATATCAGTGTTTATGCTAGCTGTAAAGATTCAGGAGTTTAAATTAACAAATTAATAAAAAAGCCTAGCTTTCTTAACCGCTACTTTTATGGAAATTAAAATTTTAAAGAAATTATTATAATTTTCACAAATTATTTTTATTTTTAAAAATATGTTTTTGTTTAATAAATGTACAGGAGTTGCTATACGAAATGAATTATTAAATGTAAATCCAAAATTTGTTAGTATATAGTTTCTGCAAGCTTTGACTATAGAGATCAATACTTTTTCAATAAACATCTGTATTTTTACCTTCATAATTACATGTCTAAAGGCCTTGTTTAAATAGTACTCCACTGAAAATATATGGCCTTGAATTCTAATGAGTCTGTTTTTTCCTATATTTTCGGATTTTTGGCTGCTATATGTTCTGATCCTCTGTTCGGCAACAATAGAAATAAGCTGAAGATGTACTAGTTTTAATATAAGACGGATATGATTTGAAACTATGAATTAACAACTAACAATAAATTACCTATTATTCTTATTTGAAACTATGAATTAAGGTATCCGTACACGTTGAAAAAGTGAATTTTAGCCTAAAATGACAAATTTTTTTATTTTATATTACGAATCTCCGTTTGTTCTAGTTTTCAAAACAGTTTAAATTTTAACTGTGCGTCAGTTAGAAAAAAAGTTATGATTAAAAGAATATTAGTCGATAACTAAAAAATGAAACCGGAAATAGCATTCCGAAACCGGAGGTGGTACAAAAACAGTTATATTTATCTTTATTTTGGGATAATTATCTTTCTTTGACTTAAATAATTATTATTTTAATGTTGCTAGAAATGAACCTCTCAATTTATCATTTATATTAGTAGCTTTAATGGCATTTTTTGGAAATTTGTCCCTAAGGAGGTGTTCGTTGAATTGCAAACATTACAATTTGGTGTGTATTTGGCTGTTATTCAGTTTAATAAAGGTTTTCTGGGACAGAAAAGCATATTCGACATAGTTGGAGTCAGCCCTGGCAATAAAACTTTAAAAGGTTTTACAGAACTTGATTTTGAGCGTGTGTATGAGTCTCAACGCCATTCATTAACTAATGTAAAAATTGTCAGAAAAAAAATAGGGTTGAAAAAAAGCAAAAAATTTGTACAATTGAGAAAAAGGAAGGTATCACATACAAATCGGAAGAATTTTAGAAGTATTGAAGCATTTTTATAATAGAAATGATATAATTTATACTTTAAATGCCTTTTTCTCAGAATGTAATTACACGCAAAAATAGTAACTTTCAAAATTTATTATTAAAAAAGTTGTTGATATATTTCAATAAAACTTTGTATGTGTATTATGTATAATGTTTTCNATAAATTCTAACCTACAGTCCAATGACTACTCTCACTATATATGAAAATGAAAAGGTAGTGAACTCCATTTTTTAATAAGTAGAATTGAAGTACTACTCAAATATGCCCTTCGATATAATCTCTTTAAAATTTTTAAATAAATTACTTTACCCTGCAATACAGAGATGAATTTTTTTTTTAAAATATTGTTGTTTACTAAGTATCGCAAAATTTTTGTTTTAGAAAGTATGTATCATAGATACAATCTTTTAAATGAAATATCGAACATACGATAAAGATAGAAAACGATAGTGCATCGATTACTATGAACAACGATAAATATCAAATACAATTATGTCACGAGTATTAGCTTTAACTATAACTGAAATCGTGATAAAACGATGATATTATAACTGTTGATGAATTTAATTTGAGTGACGAAAATATTTCTCGATGTAAAACTTTCGTTAAATATCGATGTTTCACGACGATATATCGTGATGATAAGTTGAAGTTCTGATATCCCTTCTGATATTCCCCTTAATAAAGTTATTACTTTATTAAAAAAAACGTGAAACTGTTTTAACACATACAGAAGATTAATAGCAGTAAAATGGTGTCATCAAACTTAGAGATCAAACCTTAAAAGTCAGTTAGAGTCAGTCAGAAGTCAGTCTTAGAGATCAAAACTTAGAAACTTCAAAACTTAGAAATCAGTTTGCTATAAACATAGAATAGACATGGAAACAAAATAAGCATCTTACCTTACAATAATTTGAGAGGACAGTAAAATACAAGTTTTATTACGATTGCTTACAAATTAAAAAAAAAAAACCTTTAATGGTCATTCACCCAGGAAAACCTTCCCATTCACATCAAGGCAACAATCGATATGATGCGGGATATATTAGAATAATTAACACAAATTGGAACGCAGCAGCATCAAAAACACATTTCATGAGTATACCACAACAAACCCGCAATGCGTACACATAAAGAAATCTGAGTATTTCCTTGGCATTTTTTGAACGTGTCAAGTTAGCTTAAACTGTGATTGAACATACAAACAACTCTAAATAAGAGGGACTTTACGAATGAATTCGAATGTTGTTGTTTTCGGACATTGCACTTGTACAAGGTTTATATGTCATAGGAATATTTATGATCAGAGAATGATAGAATTAAACGAAGTAAATTGTAATAATTGGAAATTATATTCAGATAGATTAAGAAAACTTCGATCGTAAGTATAAAAAGATTTTAAAATGTGTTTAGAACGGCATTAAATTTACGTGCACTATATACATTTCTTTATAAATTTTTCTTTACAAAATACTAGTTAAAAATACGGTAAATAGTATTTAACTTAATATTATGTTTATATTTTTGCTAAAAAAGCTTTCCGCGCTTTGTTGGATTAAAGGTTCAATTTTTTATTTTCTTTTTCCTGATGTTTCAATGATAGAGATTGTTTGACAGCACAATACCATTAAAAAAAGGTTTTGCTTTAAATAAACAAAATAGAGCTTGATAATTTTTAGAATTTTCATGTATTTGTCCTCAAAAATTTAAAATAATTAAATCGCGTAGTTTTTGATCTTGAGCGAGTAATTTAAAATAGCACATTTTTCAGTTATTATATCTATTTTTTTCAAATTTAATTTTATTACAGTTCAAAGTAATAAAAATGGATTTAGAAGATGCTGAAAATTGCTTTGAACGTAAATTACGCAAAAACAAAGATATTTATCAAAACTCTTAAAGCAGACAAATGAATAATGTTTAGCTACCTTTCAAAAATGCTGATTGCAGAATTGTGTTAGTAATATTTTAAAAAATTAAGAATTTAAAATATTTCACTCTTTATATTTAAAATTCTGATTGGGTGATAGCCTTGTATCAATAAAAATTAAACATTTTGTGTAAATCAAATAAAGAGGATCATATTTAGAATGGCTTTAGCACTGAAACACTACAGCGATATTCATATTATAAACTTTTACTTATTCTTCTTTAATTTCTTTTTGTGTATTCTATTTGATACTGGTTTTGATATAGAAAAAAAAATCTACAACTTACATCACTTATCAATCATTTACGAATGTAGAATTTTGAATCGTACTTATCTGCGTCTGGTGAGGCAGGCTCTAATGCATTTGACTTGTTGAATACTTTGTATTGTGATTAAAGATATCTTCACTTAACAGTGTTACACGTTGTTTGAGCAATATTTCAAAGTTAACAAAGAATAAAGTCGATTTATATTTGTGTAATTCTGTTCCAGTTTCGAAGATATTGCCGAAGTGAGCGTGCCCAGGAGCAGTACAATCCAAATACTGCTTCGAAATGGCGGATGGATGACACTTTATTCTCATAAGGTATGTTTTGTTTAGAACAATAAACAACTTTAACTTTGTCTTGTCACTATCTTGTTTTACATTATAACCAGCATTGAACTGACGATATATTTTCGAGTTTGTGGTTATTAACGTTCCAGGGAGCTACTGTATAAAGCACTGCACAAAACGTCAGACCTTTTGATGAAATTATATCACAATTACCTTACATCGAGACATAAGAACCAAAACTTCCATCTGTTTGTCCGATGGCAAAGAGGATTTTAACCCATGATCCTTCTACCATTGGCGATATTTTACGTTATTAGCCAGAAGCAGAATTCGAATCAAATAGTCATCACCGGGATTCAAACTTTCTTCGCCTCAGTGGAAGGGCGAACTTTCTTTCCTCTGAGCAATCGCTGCTTGCCAAATTAATCAGATATATTGCAAATATTCAGGGCTTCAATTAAGGAGCAGTTATGCTTTTTGTCTCTTCTGAGACAATTAATACTTCGAATTCGATATTCTCTGAAATAAGGTACTATGAAATATCGCTGGTTTTAATCACTTTTGGCAAAGTTCACCGATTCAAATACTTAATTCGGTAAGTTATCGATTAGCACGCATATACCTTTTGCCATCTTATTAATTACTCTAGTTGCAGCAATTCTTAATGGTGAAATAATATTTGAAAACGCTTTGGGCTGGTACACTTCACAAATTCTGAATGGAAATGTTCGACTGACTTTATACTAAAGAATTTGTTCTATGGTTCACGTTTAAAACTTTCGTCATTAAAAAGTAAACAAACTATAATTTTCAAAAATTTGGAATTTTCCACAATTGCGAAATAACAATTTTGTTAAAAAAAACAATCTGATCTATTTCAATTTAAATTCGGCAAAAATGAGTATTTTTAAAATGCAGTCATGTAAATCAAAATTACTATCATTTGGAGATGAGGCTTACACGGAAAAAAAAAAATATTGCAATTTATCTACTTTTAAAAGCATCCAGTTCAAAGTTGCCACCATCCTAATTTCTAACTTATAAAACATAGATTTAGGGCTTATACAATGTTTTTGTAGTTCATTTTAATTCGTAAATTTGCACATTTGTTCCATCAAAATTATTTCAAAAGTTAGGGAAGTTATAACACTTCCCATCATTATAGATTTGACAGTCATATCTTGCATGTAACCATGCTCTTCGAGAAAAACTGTAAATATTTAAGCACTTCAGTCAATTGCTATTAAAAAATAATGGCAATATATATTTTTGTAATCGTTTAGTGTAATTATCTTCTTCGTATACCTCTGTAAATTATTAATAACAGCTATAAATTATATGTGTTTAAAATTAATTGCTTATCTTGCTAATAGAATGATTTAAATTATTTTTGCAGCAGATTTGAATTATTTAAAAACTATCATATAAATTTATAAGCGTGAAATATTACCCCAAGTAAAAAATGGGGACCATGGCTATAATTGATACAGTTACAATTTCATAGACATTTTAGACGCAAGGTGAAGTTTTTAAAAATGTTTTACCCCGTTTAGGTCTGATTTATAAAAGGAATAAGAATTCGGATTAAAAAAATTTAGTTTATTATAATTGATAAAAGATAAATTCATGCCTTTTTTTTATTAATTTGCTTTTACTAATAACCTAATGGTTGGTGATCAAAATTCGAATATGTGATAGCATTTGCCAACATTTCCTTCTACTATGCATTATGTAATTGTGCAATAAACCGCTATTGCATAATTTTAATAATATTGCGAATCGTTTTTTATAGCACTGATGTATGTCATGATTATTTGTTTATTCTTTGCAGGCTGAAAAAATTCGAAACATGGTTGAACGCTTCTGTGTTGAAGCTGCGCAAGTGAGTTTTTCAAATTTATGAGTTTTTTTATTTCATTGATTTTTTAATTTTATTAGTTTTTAATTTTAATTTCATAATNCATGCCTTTTTTTTATTAATTTGCTTTTACTAATAACCTAATGGTTGGTGATCAAAATTCGAATATGTGATAGCATTTGCCAACATTTCCTTCTACTATGCATTATGTAATTGTGCAATAAACCGCTATTGCATAATTTTAATAATATTGCAAATCGTTTTTTATAGCACTGATGTATGGCATGATTATTTGTTTATTCTTTGCAGGCTGAAAAAATTCGAAACATGGTTGAACGCTTCTGTGTTGAAGCTGCGCAAGTGAGTGTTTCAAATTTATTAGTTTTTTTATTTCATTGATTTTTTAATTTTATTCATTTTTATTTTAATTTAATAATTTTATAGATATTTTTTAAAATGTTATTAATTTTTGAATTTTATTAATTTTTAATATTAATTTTTGAGTTTTATTAATTTCTGAATTTTATAGATATTTTTTAAAATGCTATTAATTTTTGAATTTTATTAATTTTTAATATTAATTTTTGAGTTTTATTAATTTTTGAATTTTATTAGCTTTTCATTTTTTAATTTTATTAATTTTTAATATTAATTTTTTAACTTAATTTTATAATTTTCTTTAATTTTTGAATTTTATTAATTTGTAATTTTATTAATTTTGAATATTATTAATTTTAAGTTTTTGACTTTATTAATTTTATAATTTTCATTAATTTTATAATTTCTTTAATTTTATAATTTTTTCTTAAATTTCAAAATATATAGTTTTAAGTATGTGGGATATTCAAAAAAATATCTGGTGAAATTTAATAGTGGGGATAGAGGTGACCAAAATAAACAATGTATCTTTTGTCGTAAAGCGTATAGAATTGCTGCGTTTAAGCGCCATTAGATGGCGCTGATCATAGGTGTTGATGTCATCTTGGAGTAAAGCTATCGTTTTTCGATGGAACTTTATTCCTGAACTTCGAATATCACTTGTTCAAATTAATTAGAATATTTAAGGTCTACTCCTTGAACCATTAAAATTGCATCTTAATACACAAAAATCTAATAATGAGATCAAAAGCTATTCAATTGATATTTTTTTTTAAAATCGCTGTTTATATATCACAGTACACATACTAGAATCGATAAGATAACTCGGAAGAAATTAAATATCACAAAATTTGTGCGACATTCGCATTGTGCACAATTTGTGCTAAACATTCTTTTTTCTTATTTAAATTCTAATTAAATTGTAACAGATCCCTATCTTTTGTCCCCTACTAATAAGGTGAATAAACAATCAAATCCTAAATCAGAGAATATTTTGTTAATTGAAATAGTTATAATCTTACATTTTACCTGAAACATTATATTTACATTACATTTACGTTACATTTATATTATATTTACATTACATTTATATAACATTTACATAACATTTATATCACATTTACGTTACATTTATATTACATTTACGTTACATGTAGATTACATTTTACTTTAAAAAAATCTGATTCAGAAATCTTGGATTCTCAACTTGACTACCATTGACCTTTGCACGCGCTGCAGATTAATACACATACTAATGACTGAGAACTACTATATTAGAATATAAGGAAAATAAAATTGTTTTTAACTGCATGTTTTAATTTAGTCTAGTTGTTTCACAATTAAAAAGTTAATTTAAGTGCTAAAATGATTTTTTTTTTTTATATTCCAGGGTGGTCACGAATATGTTAGAGCAGTCGCTGATTACGTCACGAGAGAGGCAACTCTTCTCAGTTTCAGAGAGAATGACATCATACGAGTTGTTAAAAACAGAAATTTGCATTTGGACAAAGGTAAGTCCATTTTTCTTTCTTTATTCTATTTTATTCCGTTTTTTTTCTTCTTTAGACTGAATTTATAATTCTGTTTGATTTTGCGATCTAGAGTATCTTATGAAGATTTAATATTATGCAGCGCAGCCGGCTCATATGACATTATAAACTCTTGATTGAATCAATTAATTATTTCGTTTATGAGTCAGACTTAGTTTGTGATATCATTAAACGCAATAAAAATGGTCCGGTGGTTTCGATCACATTGCATTGAAAAAGCGTTGAACGTAAGGAAAAATTAATGTAAAATATCTCTTTCCTTTTATTTCTTTTTATTAATTTTTTAAACGTTACTATATGATCTTAGAAAAGAAATAAGTAAGATTTGATAAGATTGAGAGTTATTTTTTTACGCATAAAATTTCACAGATTTCAGTAAGAAAAAAAATTTTTTTTTGCTAAATCTGCTTAAGGTCATGAGTTTGATCCTGACAGCTGATTAATATGCTGATTAACATATGCAGTAAGGTGCATGTTAAATCTGCTGTGGTTGAAAGTTCTCTAATTGGTTGTGGTGAGGAAGTTTAGAGACGGGCGACCACCTCAGGCACTGTCCACGTCGTCTGAATGGAGTTAAAACTTCGAGAATCCCTATGACCATGGCTTGGTAATGTGAGTACATAATAATAAGAATAGCTATTTCTGGATCCTGTATTATCTGCCGTTAATCTTTTTTTAATAGAATAAAAAGTGCTCTGCAATATTTTTCCTGCATATTGATGATTAATATAAGGTTTTTAATTTAAATAATTTCGTTTTTTTTTAAAGGAATAAATATATATAAAAATATATATAAACAATAGATATAAGAAATTTAAGAAAATAACTTTTTATCTATATTTGTTTTCAATTAATTTATATAAAAAAAACTTTTTTTTTCAACTAAAGAGAAATTCTAAAGAGCAAATTTTGCAACTTGAACATTTAGTCTTATAAAATTTCAAAGTTTAAAAAATAATTTCTAACTTCCTTCACAGCTGCCATTTTGAAAATATCGAACTTCTAACCAATAAATATCAGCATTTTCAAAATCTAAATTGTGATAAATAATTATAATTTTTATCATTGATTTCATAAATGTGATTTATTATTATTAATAGTAAATTTCTTGTGCGTTTTCCTTTTTAAAAAAATGGAAAATTTAAATAAAATTCAAAAAATTTAATCCCTTTTTTATTAAAAAATATAATTAATGTTCAATGCGCTTTTCGTTCGATAAAGTAAAAAAATAAGATAACGTAAAATTTTTACAATTTTTAAAATTAATCTAAATAAAAAAATTTGAATAGCTCATCTCGAATGCATTGTATTTCGTGAATAGGTTTTTTATCAATAGGTGTAAATGTGTTTCTTAATCTATTACACGATTTTCCAACTTTCGTATCAAACGCTAACACACATTCCAAGACTAACACACAACTGACGAAAACAAAATATCGCAACAAACTAGATAATATGCCAAATTCTACGATCGTTTATTTTTTTTATCCATATTTATTCTTTCTTATGTTTACTATGTCAGACATAGTTTCCAGCATCATAACTCTCTTTATGTTTACATTCAGTTTAGTTCCATTTTTCTTCATTATTTTGTATTGATTTAGGTCAAAATAAATGAAAAATATTATATTCAGCTCTTTAATAATTGCTAATGTCAACAATTTTACGATTTGTTAATAATTAGTTGTTTGGTCATGAGATACATAACCATAACAGCTACTTTTTCTGCTTTTAAGGTAAAGTCGCCCTAACACGACTTCCTTCCAAACAATAATTTTTCAAATTTGCACTTATTTGCAGTCATTTAGATTTCAGCGGAAAACAGTTATTTATAATTGAAATTTCTGTAATTTAGGAAATAAATTAGTGATAAATTTTCAAAATTAATGGAAGCAATACATTTTTTCAAACTACTTTTTTTGGATTTTATAATTTAGGGCAAATATAGTTCCGATGTCCTCGCAGATTTTTTTTGTGAGTAATTATTATATTTGACTATTTCTTATGATTAAAAAATACCAAAATATATTTTTGCTTGTAATTAAAGCATTGAAAAAAGATATAAAATAGATACCAGTGTTCCATCTGCATCAAAAGGGTTAAATTGAGCTTTACGCTAGCTAATATCGTTGCTATTATCTTTTGAATACTAGGAAAAAATCAAAATCGCCTGCAGTTTGATTTATTACAGTGGCTGACGCTAATCCAATGAGGAGATTCCATTTTTCAATTTCATTCTTTCCTGATAGACAGAATTAAAATTTTTGATCGAATTTTAAGATCTCATGTTAAAATTTATCATCTCACTCATTTTTCTAATATTTACGACGAGAGCGCAAACGGTTCCGGAGTTATAAAAGAGACACACAAACTCGAAGCTCTTTTTATTATTGACGATTATCTATTGACGATTATGAATATCGTCATCTTTCTACAATACGCTTGTAATTTTTTTTTCTTTTTAGTTTTCTAAAAATAGCTTGAAAATTTGTCATTAATTTTAGATAATAAATAGCCTTGAAGCATTTTTTGTAAACATTTTACGCAGCTTGATATGTGAATCTTTACAAGTGCCACTTAAACTACGTGTGTTCAAACAAGTTCTAACGCAAGTTCTAAAATGACTAATAAGCTAACTTTCACAGCTTGAATCGTGCAAACATAAATGTATCTACTAAACGTGAGAATTTTGGTAAATGGATTTCTCGGAAAATTTTGACTTTTTTGAAACTGCATGAATCCAAATTTTTTATTAACAAAGTGAATTATAAATATATTCGTATTAAAAACTGTTTTATATTTATTTATATTTTTTTTTAATTCAGAACAATAAATTTTAAAAATCATTCTTAATAAAAAGGGAAATTTCAAACTTTTTCGTAGTAAAAATTTGAATGCATAATTTAATGTTTACATTATATTAATAATCATATTACGTAATTACTTTTTTGATCCCATGCCCTTTACGAAAAGCACTTTAAGAAAAATGGGAAAACCTTTCTTAATAAAAATAAATTTCATTGACTGATAGCTTTTACCTAATCTTGGTAATTTGAATAACATTCATTAAAAATAAAAATATTTTCTATTATATATATTTTGTTATAATATTTGCTTCAATTTGAGCATTTTTCTTCGAATAAAATTACCATTTTCCAAAGTAGTTAAGAAAAAATAAAAATGGATAAGATAATATATTTTAGGATAAAATTAAACAAATACTAATGTAGGCTAAAATACGACGAACAGTTTCCAATCAAACTGAAATCATGAAGTCATGAAATCAAACTGAAAATCATATACCGACATATTTAAAGAACTTGAAAGAACCAAATAAGTGATATTTTTAAGGGAATTAGATTTAAAAAAAAGTGGTTGAATAAATAAGGCGATGTTTAATGTAACTAAACTGTTTTTGCTTTCACTTAAATTTTAACATAACTAATTACATCAGTTTTCAGTATGCTTGCATGATTTTTATTTCAAATTAGGTCGTGGTATATAAATAAAAACAAAGAAATATTTGTCCCACTTTCCAATAAATTGGTAATAAAATAGTTCAGATGCAACTTTTTTTTCCGTTCTGAAAATGTCACTAACCTGTTCCACTAAGTTTTTCAATTAATATAGCTAAAATAATTTCAATTTTTTAATTTGATGTTATGTGTTATCTTCAGTGGCTTTATGTTATTGAAGTTAGCAAAACGCGTTGTTTGTAATTCATACCATTGAATAAAGATGAAATGTATTTAACATCTCTTAGCATGATGCTATTGCTCACGGCCGATTCATGATAGTTGAAATTCCCCTTAAAAGTAATTAATTCCAAAGTATGGGTATTAAAACTGCTTGGTGCAGTTTTAAAAATCACCAAATATATCAATATAATATTTTATACCTATATAAGTATATCTGGTACTTATTATATAACCCTTCAACATTTGAGTTTATACATATTTGTCAGTGGCTGCCAACTAAATCCAAATTTTTTTCTTTTAAAAATGTGCATTCGAACTTCATAAGGATTTTGGAACCTGACCATTTCTCTATCTCACTTTTAATTTACTGTTAAAATATTTATAAGTAGTGGTGGAAAAAATTTCTTTTATTTCTAATTCCTTAAAATATTTTCTAAAACTGCCGAAAACCCGTTGTAGAATTCTTATCAAAACCGATTCGCCAATTACCATAATACCAGTAGTACATATTACCATAAGTGATACATATGAATTAAGCGTCATCTGTGAGTGGGAATTTTTTAGGGTTNGATTTTGGAACCTGACCATTTCTCTATCTCACTTTTAATTTACTGTTAAAATATTTATAAGTAGTGGTGGAAAAAATTTCTTTTATTTCTAATTCCTTAAAATATTTTCTAAAACTGCCGAAAACCCGTTGTAGAATTCTTATCAGAACCGATTCGCCAATTACCATAATACCAGTAGTACATATTACCATCAGTGATACATATGAATTAAGCGCCATCTGTGAATGGGAATTTTTTAGGGTTTTCTTAAACAAATTTACCATTAATCTTTCTTCCAGGTTTTAACTAAGTAATATTTAGAAGTAAGTAATTATTTAGAAGCACGTTTAAAGGAATTAATATAAATAAAATAAAACCACGTGGTATCAGACTAAGTGTAAGTTTTGTGACTTAGACCACGTGTGCTACTACGTAATGTTCATTGAATTCATCTGGCATAGAGCCCCTGAATCATAGTATAGGAGCCTTAATCTGGCATAGCGAATATAAAATAATTAATACGTGCAATAAATTATTTTTTGGTCAAACGAAGCTATAAGCTAGCAATTATCACTGATGTATTTTTAAAATATGTGAAAATTGATTCGTTAAATTTAAAACAATGACTAATGCTTAACCAATCAGAAAATTCTATTTCGTTTTTCGCTCATCCTGCAAGAACGATTTGTCGCAGAATGTTCTAATGCTGACAGTG